GACTACATGATTAGAAGAAGCATTTCACTACAGCTTTAGCATATTCAGTGACACACTCCAGAGCAACAGTACATCTCTTTCACAAGTGGATGCAAGTTTCTAGGTTCACAGTTGAATTAATATAATTATATATTATTGAACTACAATCATTGAATATAATTATATATTATTGAATTACATATTATAAGCCCTGTAAGACATAAAATTGGATGAGTTTTTAACCTTTAAAAAAAGGGCTCCATTTCATTTTAGAATATATTGTTCCTTGCAGAAAGGCTCATTGTTTTTGCTACTAACACTGAGATGTTGGAGCTTGCATCTCTAATCTGTGTGTATCTGATTATTACTAGTCATAATCTGTGGCACTTGGATCCTTGGCGACTGTGTATGTCTATAAAGTCATCAGGCAGCTTTCAATGGTATTGTTTATCACCTCTACGAATTACCGTGTGTAAATTTCCGTGCTTCCTCCTCAAATATAGTACATTTTTAAAAAAATTTGATTTTGTGTGTGTATGTATATATCACACAGAACATCCCAAACTATCTCATTCGACTATACACCCACTTCCCAGATGGCACCCTCCCATAGCCTCCCTCCCCCCACTAGAGCCCTTATACTCTGATATCCCTGCTACTGCCTGCTCTGTTGTTGGCACCCCCAGCCATTCCCCACTACTTGCCCTTCTGGTGAATTTAGTCAGCCTATTCAGAGGTCTTTGTTTTAGGAGGGTCAGCTGTTCCTCAGCTAGCAGTAATCAGTTGTCAATATTCCTTTAGATAAGATTGGGGTCTGCTGTTCATTTTCCCAGTTCTATGCTGGGTTACTGTCTGGGAATCCCTTTGGCCACTCTGTCCAGCAACTCAAAAGAAGGTATCGCCTGTCTGGCATTGTTGCTTGTTATGTAGCCTTTAGCTATGCAGATGGACTCCTAAGAAATTATATTGGCCCCTTTAATCTTTGGTTATACTTTCCTTTTGGGTGTTTAAGGCCATACAGGTGACCCAGATAAACAAATTTATTTTTACTCTTAAGGTCGTTTGAGGGTCTGAATTTTTATGTGACATGAATTTTGATGTCTAGAAGGTGGAAGGTTCTGATCTAGAGGTGAGTAAAGATATGGATGTGGAATGGCAACAGGTAAGGAAGGCTATGAGTCCTTAAAGAAAGAGACTTCAAGAAAACAGAGAAGTGGAAGAAGATCCACCAGGAAGTGATGTCAGAAAAAACAAGGGAGAAGAAAATTTCAAAGAGGGAGGAATCAGTCGAAATCCACACAGGGACCCTGCACATGAAGGACCAGCACTCCTGTGTTATTTGCTCATCCTTAGATCTAATGACCTTGGAAACAGGTGAAAACAAGACATCATTAAGGGAGAGAAAGAATGAGAAACTCCTAATACCACCAACATTGTGATTTTTAAAGATCAGAAAATACCATTTGGCCTCGAGGGGCAAGAACTGTATCTACTTTATGTTTAAATCTTCCTATTGTGTCCATAAATGCCCCCTGCAAAAGCCCAAGGATTGAAGGACTGGTTCCCAGTTCATGGTACTATTGTAGGGTGGTTTAACATTTAAGAGACAGCTAGTGTCTGAAGGTCAGGACAGTGCCACACCACCTCTGTTCTCCTGCCATATCAAAGCATTCATGTTTTACTAAATGATTTGCAGAATTGGTGGAGCACAGTGCTCTATGGCTTTCAACTACAAATCATGGACTTTTCTGTAAGACTATCTCCATGTTTAAGCCATGCATTGATTTTTCTGGTTTTCTTTAGATACAGTATAAGAAAATAATAGAACCAATTTTTCATTATTTGAGTAATCTCACATCATTGTACAAAGATGAAAATTAATTCTTTTCCCTGATTTCTTGATAAGATCTTTAAACAAATGTGAAAGCTGCTGAAGAAGTCTAATAACGAGCAGAATTCAGACTCCTGCAGGCTTCGGCTTAAATAGCACTTCTTCAAACAAGCTTTCTTTAACCCTTCTCTGTGGTTCTCAAAACACTGACGACAAGTTGCACTCAGTCAGCTATGCTGCTTATGAAGTATTAACTTACATCTGAAAATAAAAACTCAGGAACTACATATAATGTGCATCATTGTTCAAAATTTACCTTAACTGAGTTTCTTTTTGGCTACACAGACTTTTTTTTTTGTAAGGACAACAAATAAAGGTCTTAATGGAACAAATATGCTCCTGGGTAGACTTCTTATGGATACCTTTGGTGTTGCTGCAATAGGATGCCTCGAGTTTTATGCACAAAAGAATACTATCTCTATTTTCCACAATCCCTTTCTCCATAGGTAGCTCTTGATTTCTCTTCATAATCCATCCAACTTTTCATTTCCATTCAAGTTCCTTCTCCTGCTCCTCCTGCTCCTCCTGGTTTTTCAGACTCAGGTTGGCCTTGAACTCATGGCAGTTCTCTTGCCTCCACCTCCCAAATGCTGAGCTTACAGGTGTACGACACCCCACTCAGCTCTATGTCTTCTGAGTTCTAAATTGTAATCTATAGTACTTAAACTCTCTGCTTCCTGCTTTCCTAAGGGTTCAAGTCCAAAGTCTTTCAGTTCCACTATGCGTGAATCACGTTTTATTCTGTTATGTCCTTGGTTGACAATGTCAAGGTCTGTTACCTCCAGTCCAATTCCCTCTAGGAATTTTATCATGAATGCATGCTGGATTTTGGCAAAGGCTTTTCCTGTGTTTATTGAGATGATCATGTGATTTTTGTCTTTAATCCATTTATGATTGATTATATTTATTGACTTATGTGTATTGAACAATCTCTGCATCTCTGGAATAAAGCCGACTAACATGGCAGATGATCTTTTTGATATGTGATGTCTGTATTAGATTTGCAAGTATTTTGTTGAGAATTTTTGTACCTATGTTCATTAGGAATATGGTCCTATAATTGTCTTTTGTTGTTGTGTCTTTACCTGGTTTTACTATTACAGTAATACTGGCTTCATACAAGGAGTTTAGGAGTTCTCTCTTTGTTTCTATTTTTTAATAATTTAAGCAGTATTGGCTGTAGATCTTTGAAAATCTGGTAAAATTCTGTTGTGAATCCATCTAGACCTTGGGCTTTTTTTAGTTGGTAGGCTTTTGTAATACTGTTTAAATTTTTTTATTTGTTGTGGGTCTGTTTAAGTTGTTGATCTCTTCTTGGATCAACTTTGGTGGTTCCATTGAATTTATAATTCATCCATTCCTTTAAGATTTTCTAATTTAATAGAGCATAGGTTTTTAAGTATTTTATAAGTGTTCCCTTATAATGTTCTAGATCTTTTTTGGTGTCTATTGTGATGTTTCCCCTTTCATCTCTGATTTTGTTGATTTGGATTTTCTCTTTCTGGGGTTAGCTAGGCTAAGACTCTGCCTATCTTTTTTATCTTTTCAAAAAAATCAGCTTTTAGATTCATTGTTTTCTTGGTTTATGTTTCATTGATTCCTACTCTGATTTTTATTATCTCTTCTCCTCTGCCAGTTTTGGAATGGTTTATTCATGTTTTTCCAGATTCTTGAGTTATATCATTAAGTTGTTTATTTGTGCTCTTTCTTTTCTTCTTTCTTTCTTTTTCTTTCTTTCTTTCTTTCTTTCTTTCTTTCTTTCTTTCTTTCTTTCTTTCTTTCTTTCTTTCGTTTCTTAATGTAGGTGCTTGGAGCTATAAACTTTCCTCTTAGGACTGCCTTTAATGTGTCTCAGAGGTTTTGTTGTGTTGTACTGTCATTTTCATTTAGTTCCAGGAATATTTTGATTTCTTTGTTGATTTCTTCTTGAACACATTCATCATTCAGGAGTGTGTTGTCTAATCTCTATGAGTTCATGTAGTTACTAGAGCTTCTTCTACTGTTGATTTTAAGCTTTATTGTGTTGTGGTCTAATAGAATACATAGAATTATTTTGATTTTTTTATTTTTTGAGGTTTGTGTTATGCTCCAGTATGTGGTCTATTTTAGAAAAACTTCCATGGGCTGCTGAGTAGAATGTGTATTCTTTGGTGGTTGAGTGGAATATTCTATAGATGTCTATTAGGTCCATTTGATGTATGATAACATTTAATTTAGATGTTTCTGTGTATTCTTTGTCCAGATTGCCTGTCTATTGGAGAGAGTGGGGCATTGAAGTCACCTGCTATTAATGAGTTGGGGTTATTCTGTGTCTTGAAGACAATGGCTTTTGTTTCTCTTGTAATACTTGAACTAAATTCACTGCAGGACTTAAAGAAGTTTTAGATAAAAACAGTAATAACAGGAGACAGGTGTTGTGGCACATACCTTTAATCTCATGACTGGAGAGGCACAGGCAGGCAGCTCTCTGTGAGTTTGAGGCTAGCCTAGTCTACATTAAAGAGATCTAGGTCAGCCAGGATTACACAGTGAGATCTTGTTTACTAAAACAAATAAGCAAGCAAAAAAACAACAACACAAACAATAACAACATTAACAACAGTGGCACAAAAAGGGTCCTGAGCTCACCCAAGGGTAGGAAAACTAACATGTTTCTAAATGACATGGTTTATCCCTTCAGCAGGTTCCCATTCCACTTACCTACTGTAAACTTTGGTTATTAAATTGTTGATCTGCTTGTCAATTTTGTATTTCCGGTAGTCTTCCAAGCCATCTTTAATTGCAATGATTGTGAGGACCACCACCAGTGGCAGCATGGTGATTTCTTTTTGAAAGGCTTCTACCAAAGGCACCCAGTTCAGGACCACCAGGAACAGGAAATATAAGTTGGCAGCCCTGCAACCCAAGCACAAGGGGGCATTCACAAATCAGTAAGTGCTCAAACACAAGGGGCAAGATCCCTGTGTGCCTTTGCACGAGTCAGTGTGAGCTGATTCTGTAGGTTACAGAACAGGGAGATCAACAGAATCTAACAAATATAAAAATGTATGTATGACTCTCCTAGACATGTGGCTGGGTTTGAGTAAATATATGATGTTTTTATTAAATAGGTAATAGAGAACATTTGATAGTTTTGAGTTATGTAACACATAGCATAAAAGGAAACACTGCTTGCTCTTCAAAAGTTAAAAATAATAAGTATGGGTGTTGTGACACACGCCTTTAATCCTAGCACTTAGGAGGCAGAAGCAGGTGGGTCTCTGCATGTGAGTGAGAATGAGCCCAGCTTGGTGGTCTACACAGGGTCTACATGGGGGCTACAAGAAGATCCTGTCTCTATAAAACAAACAAACAAACAAAAACAACAAAATAGTTTAAAAAATAGAAGAAATTCTTGGTCACCCTGTTAGATTCAAAGAAGGCTCAAAAAAAATAGGAAAGTATGAGGTTTTTGCTCCTCAAGACTTCCTGTTTCTTTTCATACTATTCAGAGCCACATTATTCCAGAACTTCTTCCATCCAAAGAACTTCACTACTTTACATATTTGAATATTCCTCCATTGGCTTCTTATGCTTCACTCTGAGGTAAGTTCCAGATGCACCTCTCATAAAACAAAACAAAACAAAACAACACAAAACAAAACAAACAAAAAAATCAATCTTGCATAGCCACTTTAATTGTTATCACATATTTTCTTTTTGTCTTTGACCATGAGACGCCTTAAAAGAAATCTACCCAGGGGCTGGAAAGATGGCTCAGCAGTTAAGAACACTGGTTGCTCTTGCAGAGGACCCAGATTCGGTTCCCAGCACCCACATTGTGGCTAACAACCATTTGTAATTTCAGTTCCAGGGGACCCGATGCTCTCTTCTGACCTCCGTGGGCATTGCATGATACAGGTGCATTTACATACATGCAGGCAAAACACTCATACATATCAAATAAAAATACTAAAATATTTTTTAAAAATTCAACATGGTTTAATAGAAAGAACACTGAAGCAAGCACTGCTGCTTATCACGGGCACCCGCTAAACCACACACCAGTTTCCTGCTTGATAGTAATACAAGGATAACAGGGATCTTTCCAATTGTAAAGAGCTACATGAACAGAAGGGACCCTCATTTCAGCCTAGGCTTGGATCTAAATCGCCATGAATGATTTCATATGCCTTAGTCATAAGAAGCACATGGGACTGTGAAAACGAGGAAAAAAGTATGTATCAAGAAGAATGTTGAGCAGCACTCTAATGTTCTGTTTTCTCCAAAACAACAACAGTACCTGTGAAACTGCTCAAATAAATTTCTTGGCACGAAATTGAGAAGTGTGTACTTGGTTGTCCTTATTCGGTTATTCACGTAGGTTCTAGAAAACCTTTCGTATTCATCCTTGAAGCACTGGAGGTGGGGAATAACAACTCGGTGCTTTCCTGCCAGTTTGGGGGTCTGGGAAGACTTGCCCCCACAGACAAGCAGTGAGGAATAGTTGTATGGTCGCTCATCTTCACCCCGGGTTCTCCCATTCATCAGCTGGTGCCAGTACTGCCTGGCCCATTGAAGAAGCTCAGTCATGCCCAGGATGCAGTGAGACCTGGGTGGTGCAAGGGATCTGAAAAACAAAGACACATTTCCTGGAAACTTCTGGAATGTTATGAAGGAAAGCACAATTTTAATCTTATTCTATACCAGATAAACATATGACCTAATGGTTCAACACATAAGTAGGAATGAAACCTGTCACTGGAACACCATTACAACCAAATCTTTGCTAAACAAAGCACATACCTTCTTCTTCATGGGCCAAGCATCTGATCATTTAAGCAACAAAAGACAGTGTCTACAATGCCACTCCAAAACATTTCAGCTTTAATATGTGCATTCTCCTTCTTGAAACTGGAATAATGCACATATGTCAGGAAGCTGTCATGGAGCTTAAATGGATAACATGCGACTCACCCAGCCTAAGGCCTGATAGACAGAAAGGAGTCAATGGGACCTTTCTTCATGGATTACAAACATGGCCACAGGTTCTTCCCACCCATGCCCATCAAAAGGTGACTCTTTCTCTGCATACTGATTATTCTTTCTCTACCTTGGCCATGGCCTCACTTTGGCTAAAGGAATACAAAGAAATGGACATAAGCAAAGGTTTGAAATGTGTTGCTTATCAGGGTTTTTCATTCTCACTTCCTCTGAGAACCCTTTTGCCACCACCATGAGCACCCACATACATGCTCACCTTCACGCCCATGAGATGTGAGTCCACTTAGCTCCTGCCCATGTGAGGTGAGGCCACTGGCTACGAGCCAACCACCAAAGCATAAGTGTGCTCAGGGGACAACCTAGAGCAAAGAGGAGCAGGAGTGACCCCAGCTGAACTTGCTGAAATAGCCACCCACCAAGCTGAGTCAACCAATGCTATGCACAAAAATTTAACTGATACATCATTGCTTCCTCATTTTCTTTATTTTCAAGTGTTCTTGTCTTCTAAGATATTTAATCCCACTTAGAATATGAGCCTTTTAATTAGAAAAAAGGAGGAAAGGCTACTGTTTATTAAGAGCTCATTATATCCCCAGTACTTTGCAAAGCATTACCTTAATATTACATCAGTCCTGTAACACAGTAGCCACAGCTGATTCAGATCACATCTTTCCAAAACAGGGTTAGCTGATAACGTGCTTCATTTACCTGGTCTCTGGAGGGCCTGACTCTTGGAATATGTCCCCAAAAGTTCACCCCATGGGTAACGAGCATGTCATTGAATGTGCAGGGCAAGTCCAAGGTCCTTGGCTTCCATCCTTGATTCATTAATGTCATCATTTACATATCTGGGGCTGGAGTTGACCCTCCCCCACAACTCTTACTTGGTAAATCCATAATATGTCCTAACCATCTAAACTGACTAAGTTCTCAAATGAACCTGATTTAAGTGTCCATAGATTTCTTTGATCTGGAGGTAAAACTGGGCTATGTACTGATACTGTGCTAAGCTAGGAAAAGAGAGATGATGAGGACCTAGACTCCAAGAGTTCAAGATCTAATTGAGCTAATAGACATGTACATATCCAAGTGCAATCCTGGTACAAAATAGTATTCAAGGCTCTATTGACATTTAGACAAATTATTTACAGTATTTCCTTTCTAAACTTCATTCTAAATTTATAACCTGAGTATTGATTCATTTTTCTAAAGTATGATACTAATCAGAAGTCAATAGTTTCCCCCTAAGGACATTAAAACTAGACCCAACTTTTACGGATCTGCAATATAAAATATCACCTAGCAGGGCTGGAGAAATGGCTCAGCAGTTAAGAGCACCAACTGCTCTTGCAGAGGCTGTGGGTTCAATTCCCAGCACCCCCATGGCGGCCACAAGCATCCATAACTCCAGTTCCAGGGGATCTGATTCTTTCTCCTGACCTCCACGACCACTACACAACATGGGTGCACTTATACACATGCAGGCAATATACTCATATGCATAAAATAAAAATGACAAATAAAATCATCACCTAGCATCACTGAAAGATTTAATTCAACTAGTCTACTCTTGCTAATGAATCAATGTATACTGGTATACATTGGAACTTAAGCAATCTAAGAAACAGTTATGTGACATCACATGATCCTCATATTTACAGAAAAGGCACTGAAACAAATATGCTTTTTTAAATCCATCAGAACTTTAAAAAGCATGTATATCTGAAACAAAATAATCAAAACAAATATAAAAGCAAAAGATGCATTCATTCATTCATTCATTTATTTTATGGTACTGGGGATTGAACCTGAGGTCATGTACAAGGTAGTCAAGGGTCCTACCACTGAACTAGATCCCCAACTATTTTTGTAGTTTGAGTTTTGAGTCAGGGCAGGCCTTGACCTTGCGAGTCTCTTGCCTCAGCCCCCTGAGTAGCTGAGGTTATAAGCCTGTACTGCATGGCCTAGCTCAGAAAAAGTCACTTTTGACTGGAAGAACACAGCCTCCAAGGACATGCGTTTGTCTCCGGATACTGGATACACAATATATATCCCATTAGAAAAGCAGTCTTATCAGTTCTGTCCATATGATAGGAGGAAATGTTTCACCCAGGCCTTTTGAACCTGTCCTCCAAACAACCTACACACACAGCACTAAATCCATGAAAACTGACCAGCCAAAATAATGCTCGCTGTCTTTTCAATATAATTAAAAAATGTCTATATCAAAACTGTGTTAGGAAAGCCTGGTTTTCACCTTACTATATGAAAATAGCTTAGTTTATAAATCTGTAAAGTGAAGTATAGTTTGAGTTACAAAAGTAGTTCACAGTTTATCCCAAACTCTTTCGCAGAATAAGGACACAAAATAATGCTCCACAAATTAATCCATAGACAGCAGAACAAAATAGCTAATATAATACTAAAAGCCTTTTGTGGATTTTTTACACCACGATCATTAGGTGGCCATTTTGAAAAATTTCAAATCCTTTTTTAGAAAGTTGGAATCAGCATGATTTGCTATTGTTTCTGAAAACTTTAGGTAGGAACTTTTTATTTGCAATCAAGCTATTATAAAGACATGACACTGGATCTGTCTAGTGTCCACAGCCTCGTGTAACAACCTAGATTCTACTTTGGCTCGTTAAATTTCAGAAAACAGTTTCCT